CATACAGCCAGCTGCAATGACTATGTATGTGAACAAGACAGCCACAGTTTCTCAACACCCTGCTCAGTAAGTACTTGAAGCAAGTGCTGTGAAACACAAACTTCATAGCTACTCTTTGCGCCTAAATTCTGAGTCTTTATGTAGAGGCAACTAAGTAGCCTTCTGTTTCGCTAGATGACCCGAGAGCCACGCTTGGCCTTGCCAAGGGCACCTGAGTCCATATGCTTGCTGTATTTTTCAGTTCTGATCAGTAGCCCTCTTTTTTTTTTCTCCTTCCCCATCTTCCTCAGACCTTTTTTAAGGCTGAATTGGCCATTCAGCATAAGACTACTCCTTTTATCATATTGTTCAACAGCAGAATGGAAGAATGTTCTAGTTACTTATGTACAAGTTACTTTTATTTTCATGGTGGGATCTTCTACGGACAACAGTAAGTGTGGGGTTCATTTGCTTTGGCCCCAGATCAGCAGTTGTGTGTGTTCCACCCGTGTACTCCATTCTTTCCTTTCTAGAGGATCCAACACTTGGTTTCAAACTTGTCCTTTTGTTTGAAAGAGATCATCCTGGCAAGGGTCATAGTGCTGCTGTGTGTGAATCCACTGGTGATCCTTCTCTTGTGTCACCCTCTGGAGTCCAAGCTCCCCATCTCTTTGATGCCTTCGAGCTCCTCCTGGGGGAGCAACAGATGCAGGGCTGCTCCTTGACACACGTTCCTTACGCTGCCTGGACCACGAGGCTGCCCAGGGCAGATTCTTACACTAGTCTGGAACATTGGCTCCAAAAGCTGCTTTTTTAATCTTAATTAAACAAACAAATGAAAAGAATCTGTACATATTTCTAGTTTTCTACCTTCTGACGCTTTTCTTTCTTTTGAGACCGGTCGAAGGCTTTTTATAGAGATATTTTGGTACTAAACCTGTGCAGACATTGAATGAGTTTGGTCTGCAGACTGAAGTGCCAATTCAGGGCTATTAGTAATGACTCTTGAACATTATTGTTATATTTCATAGCTCATTAATTTTGGGTTTACATTTACAAACCTGAGCCATGAATCTCCCAATTTACTCTTATGGCAGTCCAGCCTTGTTCTTTTTTGTCTTTTTTCTATACCAGACTTCCTTGCAACCTTTAGCTTGGATGGCGAACCAGTGTCTGACTCTTTCTATAAAATTTTGTAAACAGTGACTTAGTTTTTCTACATGAAGGAGATACTTCATTTCCCATTCTTCGTCAGCACCTTGTCAGCTTTCTTTTAATCCTGTTGACAGTTTTCCAATGCCTGATTTATCACAGAGTAAGAACCACAGTCCCTGCTTAACCATCACTTTCTCTGATGGAAACAGGGAGTTTTTATGTAAGCCAGAATTGTACCTCTGACACTACATGGAATATTTGTGCACTGACATCTATCGATGAGAACTGTAGAGCATTAGCAAGAGACGAGTATTTGTCATTTCTTGGTAGTATCAGCAAGTTTGCAGGCCCTATATGCATTTCTGTCCTTGCCCTAAATTCTAGGTCTTGTCAACATCCACACAATCTCTAAATGTAATAGATCGTTTCCTTTTTAACTTGAAATACATGTTTTTTCTGAGAAATCTCATTGTATTGGAACTTTTCAGTATGGCAGTGGAGAAATAAACAAGGAAATCGCCTTTATTTGAATGGGAGTGCAAAAAATTCCCCACAAAAGCACTTTGCAACTCGGCCCTCCGAGGAGGAAAATACTCAGGCAGTTTCTTGGGAGCCAGAACTTGGTAGCAGAAAAATGGATCAGACTGTAGCTGCTCTCATGGCCAACGCACAGTGCAGTCAGCAGAGACTACCGCCGCGCCACAGCCTGATACGATCCAAGCGCCTTGTGCGCAACTTGGGGGTGTAACACACGTCGGGACCTATTTTTTTTTCTCTGGCAGGTTGCTCTAGTGTAAAAGATGACAGCATTGTGTGCCGTTGTGTAACGGTCTGTAGGAAGTGGGTTCAGCCTGTTTCTGCAGTACAGTGTGCGTGTGGTGTAGTGGGGAGCACCTCGGGGTGTGAGAGCAACTGACATCCAAGGCAGCTCAGAAATAAGCAGAGAAGATGGGATCTGACTGCGTTAGAGGGTTCCTCCTCTCTTCATGGTCCCTTAACTTACACAACAGAATAATTTCAAGCTGTTACTGATGGTGAGGTGGGGACAGCTGCGACTGACTGTTAAATGTTTTGGTGTTTGGAGGGAAGTCAAATTTCTAAGGGCTTTTGTGAATAAGGAACTGCTTTTTATGGATTTACTATAGATTTTATTGTCTGTGATAAATAAGAATCGCCTGATCTAAAATGGAGGTAGGGAGGGACAGATTAAGAAAACACGATTTGAACATTCAAGGTCAAATGGTTTTATTTCTATGAGAAAGTTGATTATTTTACCCCTTTAAAAAGTTATGGTTTAGATTTCAAAGTTAAATACACTTTAATGAATTCATTTACATATTTTAAAGTAGTATTTTACTTCCTCCTTCCTGTGTTTTTTATTTTTCAGTTGACATAAATGCAAGATACCTTGACTTGATTATGTAAGGTTTTACTTGGTAATAAATCTACTGATCCTTTATAGCAGACTGTGAATATTGTAAATATCTTGAGATGGAAGGGTTGTGTGGGATCACAGAAGACATTCTTTGTACAAACACTAAAAGGATACGAGAAAGCTCTGTAGGGTTTTTTTTTTTTAGAATTTTATTTAAGAGAAAAATCTCTGAAATCATTTGACCTTTCCAAAATTTTATGTATATCTGACTTCTCCTGTGACTTGATTATTTTAAGCTATATATATATTAAAAAGTTAGAAGAACTTGACTAGGCAAAAGAGTTTTCAGTTGGAAATAGCAACATGTCAAAGTTTTGCTGTCATTACTTCAGGTTTTTCTTTTGGAAATCTGAGTCTGTCTTCATGCCATGTTTAACTTCTGTGTATTAAAATGTTTTCACTTCTCCTTTTCAGTGTTATCTGTAATATGTTAGTTTATTTTGGATCAGTATTATATTGTAAATATTATGCATTGGTGTATATAAATGATTTTACTAAACTTAAAAGTTACTGGCTGCTTTTGTTTGGTTCCCAAGTCCCCATAGTACAGAAGGGAGGAGGGCCTGGAGGGCACAGCAGCGCGCTTCTCCTGCCAACCACGCTTCTCCTCTCCTCTTCTGCCAGCCCCAGACCTCTCCCGCCATGCTCAGTCCTCCGTCCCGCCTGCCTTACAAATGTGAATAAGCACTTTGCTTTGTATTTTGCAGGAGTGCCGTGAGGCTTTGAAGCGAAAGAATGACTGACAGGCTAGGCTGGATGAAGCCCTAGAAAATGGTGTGCTCTGCCTGGCAACATAACCTGAAACTGCCTCTTTAAAACACTGCTTTCCGTTAGATGGCAGCAGTTACATGCCCAGTGCTACAGGTTAACCCCCCAAGGTCTATAGGATTTTTCTTGTAGCGATGGCTTTGGGCAGTCAGGGAAGGGAGGGATGAGTTGTTCTGTGTTCAATGACATTTCCCCTGTCAGGTATAACAGCTCCTGCGTTCTACCAAGCGTGTTCTTTGGGGCAGGAACTAGGAACCAGTTCCTTTAGGATGACGATCCTTGCAGGCTGCTGTGCTTTGCTGAAGGTGGCTGAGGCAGGGGCTGGACTGGCAACTTGGGAGACGTGGTAGGTGAGAAACAGGTTGGTTTTCATTCAGGCTGGCAGCGCGCTTTGCCAAGGAGCACTGGAGTGTTTCTCCTCACCTCTTAGGCAGTCAGCCCTTCTGAACACAGACTAGTGCCGTCAAGTATGGCACTTGTGCGCTTCCTGGCTCTGGAAATATTTTTATTATCCTCGAGCATGGTTTGACTGGCTTGTTGACAGCAACCAGATAGACCCTTTCAGTACAAAAGTGGCACAAAAAGAGGTGGTGGGACAGCTGTGAGTGCCCCTGTGCACCAGGCCACCTTCTTTGTAAGAGTTAACATCCATCTGCTTGGTACCTTTGGGAAGTTAATAGTGTGTTGGATGGTGAGTGACTGTCAGAGCATCCATAGCGTTGGAAAGGGGAGCGAGAGAACAATTTCCAAGCATCCTGGGAGTATTTAAGAGTGCTTGTAGCTGGTTTGGCTGCCTATAGAAGTGGGACAAGAAAAGACTCTCCCCTACTCATAGAAGGCCCAAAGAATACCTCTCCCTTTCCAGCAAGAAAACTCCCCTCAAATAGTTAAAAGTCAGTGACGTGCTCAAGCTGAGTGAGGAGCCCTGCAAGGATAGCTGTCAACAGACACTGAAGGCTCTCACCACTGCAGCTGAAGGTCCCATTAGCAACCAAATCGTTGTTTCCCTGGTAATCTTCTATTGCTTTCCACTTATCAAGGCTTAATCCCCTTTTAAACAAATTGCTGTAGCAGCACTGGCTCATCATGCTCTTAGCAAATGGGGTCAGTCCAAGTAGGGTGCAGCAGGCTCTTAGCGATGAGCCAGGGCGTATTTAATGCGATGCCGCTCCTGCCTGTGCCGCTGTCGGGGAGGCTGCACCGGTGCTGGGGGCGTGGGTCCCATCCTCCCTGTGGAATGTTTGCATTCAAAGCAGGGCCAGAGAAACGGTCACCCCTCGGGCCCTTCCATTCCAGTCCCAAGAGCAGCTTTCCCCCGGCTTCCCACCCCGTGCTGGGGCTTTCCTGGCGCTGCTTTGCTCTGTTGCAGTTGGATGGCTGACTGGCCCCTGGCGTGTCCTACCTCCCTGGTGGACAGGTAGCCGAGGAAGAGCTTGGAAAAGGCATGTTGGATGAAGGGAGCAGGAGGCTTGAGCCTGGCTGCAGGTTGAGCGTGAAGAAGAGGACAGACCCCGAGGGATGATGTCCTGGTGGTGAGAAGGAATCTTTGCTGCTGAGTTAAAGGCTTTTCTGATGTCTTATCGTCTGCGTTTTTCTCTCTTTTTCTCCAGCCTGGGAGGAAGTGACCATGGCTCCAAGCCGGACACATCCAAGGTGCGCCCCGATGGGCAGAGGGGTTCTCCTCCTCGGACTGGGCCTCTCCTTCCTGCTCCGGGTGCTCCTGCTGCCCTGCACAGGCAGCAGCCCCCAGCCCTCTTGGGGCTACACAGCCTACGAGATAGTCATTCCAAGGAAACTTGGCCCCAAGGCAGGGAAAGGCAGCCGGGATGAAGTGTCCTATATCATCAGCATTCAGGGGGTAAATTACACGATTCACCTCAGGCAGAAAGACTTTGTAATAAAAAACTTCCCCGTATTCACTCGTGACTCCCAAGGGGAAATTGCAGTCGAACAGCCCCATGTGCCAGCAGATTGCTATTACCACGGCTACGTGGAAGGCATCCTGGACTCCGCGGTGACTCTGACTACCTGCTCTGGGCTGAGAGGACTGCTGCAGATTGGAAACTCAAGCTACAGCATCGAGCCCTTGGCAGCTTCCACCATGTCTGAGCATCTTCTGTTGCAGAGAGAGGAGGCGGTTCCTGGAGCGGTGATGTACAAAATGCCCAGTGAAAGTGGACAATTTCCAGGTCCTGGTACAGCAACAGGGCGGTTCCGGCCCCGGGGGCACACGCGGTATTTGGAGCTCCTTGCCGTGGTGGACAAGAAAGGGTTTGATGCCTTTGGCAGAAGTATAACTAATGTGACACTAGAAGTTATTGAAATAATCAATTTGGTGGATGGACTGTTTTATTCTTTCCACCTTCGTGTTTTGATAACTGCACTAGAGATTTGGGTGGAGAAGAACCCTATCAGTGTTACCAAAAACATAACCGAGGTCCTTCATAATTTTAATCTTTGGCGGAAGCAGCAAAGCCTTACGTACGCTGTGCATGATGTGGGATGTCTATTTGCCTCGATGGACTTTGATAGCGGTATGAGAGCATCACACACAGGTGGCAAATCCAACTTCGCCAGTGCATGTGATAGAAAACGCGCCTCTGCTGTTGTATCGTTTGCAAGACAGCCTTACATGGACACTGCTGTCCATGTCGCTCGTGCGTTAGGGCATGTCCTTGGTATGGAGCATGATGACAGATACTGCAGATGTGGAAACACCTCTAAATGCATCATGAGCGCACACGGCACAGTGAACTATCAATTCAGCAACTGCAGCAAAAAGCACTATTTTCATTTTACAGCATCAGGGCAAGGATTCTGCCTTAATAATGCCCCAAAATCAGTAACGACATTTGCACTGCAGCGCTGCGGGAATGGTGTCCTGGAGGTTGGGGAGGAGTGTGACTGTGGCTCAGAAGCACAGTGTAAATTGGACCTTTGTTGTGACAATACCTGTCAAAAAAAAGGAGGAGCCATTTGCACTTCTGGAGGCTGCTGTAAGAATTGCAAACCTCTTCCAGAAGGAGAAGTGTGTAGGGAGAGTGCTGATCCATGTGACCTGCCCGAGTATTGCAACGGGACGTCTGAGCATTGCCCAGCAGATGTGGCCAAGCAAGATGGGACTGTGTGCGCTGAGGATGGGTACTGTTATTCAGGCAAATGCCAATCTCGCACATTGCAGTGTATGAGTATCTTTGGCAAGGAAGCAAAGCCTGCTCCGCTACCATGTTTCCAGGAGGTGAACATGAAAGGGGATCGGTTTGGCAACTGCTGGGGAGATGGGGGAGATGTCAACTTTCAGAAATGTAAGCTAGAAAATGTCCTGTGTGGGAGGTTGCAGTGTACGAACGTTAGACGTCTACCTCAGCTGGAAGATCACACAACCATCATTCAAACCCCGGTGGGCGATACCTGGTGTTGGGGCACAGACTACCACTTGGGTGCGGGCATTCTGGATGCTGGAGTCATTAAGGATGGCATGCAGTGCGGTGAGAAGAAGATCTGCATTAATCGGACGTGTGTCCCTGAGGAGAAGTACTTGACATCCCGCTGTTCTGCAAAGAGAACGTGCAGAGGAAAAGGCATCTGCAACACTAGAGGAAACTGCCACTGTGACAATGGCTGGGCACCTCCCTACTGCCAGTTTATGGGTTTTGGAGGAAGCATTGACAGTGGGCCTGCACCGGTCACTAAAAAGGGGCTTTTAAAGTTCATCATCGGGATCACTGTAATAACTGTTGCTGTTCTGGCACTCACAGCACTTGTCATTGTGCACGTGAGAAAGCTCAGAGTAACCTAAGCATTGAACAGACTCATCGGATGCTTTTGGTCTGGAGAAGGGGCTCCTGAGGAGGGTCCGAAGGACCAAGAAGAAAACGACAGCTCAAAACCAGCTGAGAGTCAAAACTCCCCTGTGTAGGACTTCACGTTGCAGCAGTGGAAAGCTGGACTCAGTCACTAGATTCAGACTCCAGCTGCAGTGGACTCATGTAAAATTGATCTAGATATAAGTGTAGAGTTAGGGGACTTAGTTTTTATTCTGTAGAATAGCAAAATGAAATTGTTTCACTTGACCTCACTCTGTAAGACAAAAAAAAAGCATTGACAAAAATGACAGGGGCACCTCAGGTTAATTTAAAATCTGCTGCTGGTTTACACTGACAGACACAGGCTGAGCAAGGAGGATCCTGAGAGCCTTTTGCAAGGCAAGAGCAACAGTTGTCTCTCAGCCCAGAGCATGGGGGTCTGCAGCAGCGAGTCCCCCTCGCCACTAAACATGCACTAAACGTTCTTCCCTCTGAGCAAAGAAACTTCTGGGTCACAGACCCTCCACTACGGCTCAGAGGAAGGGGTTCAAACTGTCCACACCACTGTATAGGACTCTGTCTCCACACCCTATAGCCACCTCCTCCGGAGCCAGGGTCCCAAGTGGAGTGCCCACCTTTGAGCCCTGGGTGTACCTGAGCACCTCCTCTGTGGCACCACAGCCCAGGAACAAACATGAGCTGCTGAAAACATCAGGCAGTGTTAAGTGGGAGACAGGAGGAGGGAAGAAAGGGCTCTGAGGCTTGATTACAGGAGAAAAAGATGTGGAGTGTATCTGGAAGGAAATAAGGAAAGAAGAGGGGAAAAAAATTCATTACCACTCACATCGGTGGCCTCTGTGAAAAGCAGAAAGCTGGCAGGATCACATGGACAGGAGCTTGCAGGAAGGCTTTGAGCAGGTAAAGAAACTGTCGGCAGCATCTGATCCCTGCCAGGCTGAGCTGACAAAAAAGCCAGGCTGCTGCGGTGTCAGCGCAAGCTGGGAGCAGCGGGCGCAGGAGCAGCACTGAAGCAGAACAGAGATGGTTTAAAAAAAAAAAAAAAAAAAAAAAAAAGTCATTTCAGCACTTCCTAAAGAAGCAGATGAATGCTGGGGAGCAGGAGTGCTTCGTGCTAGAAGAGGGAATTTACCCCACTGGAATGGGCTATTGCTCAGCTCCAGGTAGACCTGGTTAATGATAAATTCAGCGCTGCAGACATTGCTGCCTGCCGGTGCTCACGTGCAGCTGGCAGCTGGCATGTGTTTGTATGAAATGTGGTTTTCTGTGTATAACAAGCTGTGCCTGACATTCAGCAGCATCCGTGCACGATGAAGAAAAATGTCCAGAGCCCACTGGTTTTCCGACTGGCAAAGAGGCAAGGCAATGGCCAAGGGGCATCAAGATTTGTCAAATTAATTTGCTGGGAGAATTTTTATTGTGGTTAATTCTCAAATTCACAAGTTACAGGCAATCTTTGGGCAGGGATCCCCCTTGGGGAGTAGGAGGGGGTGGTGAGGATGCACGGCTCCCCAAATCTCACCAAGTGGCAGGGGAGTGGCTCTGAAGATAACCACAGCTCCCTGGCCATGACGGCCACCCCACAGTGCCCCGGTGAGGGAAGCACAGCGGGGATGGGTGCTTTTCATCCCTGACACCTTCCAGGAGCACTCATGGCTCCCATGCCACGGCCTCGTTCCACCCCGGCCTCGTGTTGCAGCCGGCTGGCAGCACGCTGGCTGGGAGGGGCGGCAGTGCTTCCAGAACCTTCCCAAGGGACGCTGAGGGGAACAGCTGCCCCTCGGGGCAGCGGGGTGGCACGCACCTCTGTCAGGTCCTGTGCCAGCCCTGAGGGGACAGCTCCGGCACGGCCACTGCCTGAGCGCCTCAAGGGAGACAGGGTCAAGATGTCCGTGCAAGGGATGGCAGGGCCCTCCCCAAGCTGTCTTACCGCCATTTTGAAGGTGTTGGTGATGAGACGGCTCCAGGCACATCATGGCGGCCGGGGGAAAGCCCTGCTCCTCATGCTGGGGGTCTGGGCAGCATTGGTGGCATCTCTCCTCCCTGGGGCAGGCAGCCATCGTCCACCGCCGGGCTACGCTGTCCATGAAATAGTCCGGCCAAGGAAACTGCCCCCCAGGGCGGGAAAAGCCACGGGGGGAGAAATGTCCTACGTCCTCAGGGTGGAGGGAGAGAACCACATCATCCACCTCACGCAGAAGAGAGGACTTCTGGCAAAAAACCTGCCGGTCATCACATACAGCCCCAGTGGGACAAGAGTGGTGGAGCAGCCTCATGTCCCCAAGGAGTGCTTCTACCTGGGCTACGTGGAGGGCAGCCCCAGCTCCCTCGCCACGCTGAGCACCTGCTCGGGTCTGAGGGGGCAGCTGGAAATCGGGAACCTGAGCTATGGCATCGAACCTGTGCCGGGGTCCCTCACCTTCCAGCACCTTCTCTATAGGCGAGAGAAGACCCAGAACGAGCCCTTGATGTGCGGATTGACCGATGAGGTGATCCAAAACCACCCGGGTGGGATGGGAGCTAAAATAGCCTTAGGAAAGCATGACTTGTCTCAGCACACCATGTATGTTGAGATATTTGTCGTGGCGGCGAGAGAAGACCCAGAATGAGCCCTTGATGTGTGGATTGACCGATGAGGTGATCCAAAACCAACCGGGTGGGATGGGAGCTAAAACAGCCTTAGGAAAGCATGACTTGTCTCAGAGACTGAAGAACACCATGTATGTTGAGATATTTGTCGTGGTGGACCACTATCTGTTTTCCTTCCAAGGGAGCAATGAGACCTCGGTGATGCTTCTGGTTACAGATACGATCAATTTATCCGAAACATACTTCTATCCTCTGAAGATTCGCATCTGCCTGATTGGGCTGGAGATCTGGACGCACAGCAACTTCATCAAGTACAGCCAGGATATAGAAGTTGTTCTTAAAAATTTTAACGACTGGGGAAATAGGGATCTTTCTCAGAGGATGAAATACGACATTGCACATTTATTTACTTACATGGACTTCGGACAAATGGCTGGGATGGCATATGTAGGTAGCATCTGCCACCCCGGTTATCAATCAGCTGTTGTCTCACATATACGAAGAGATTTCATCACCTTTTCAATTATTTTTACTCATGAGCTGGGTCACAACCTGGGGATGGAGCACGACAAAAAGGAGTGTGTATGCAGAGAAGCCACCAAGTGCTACATGACGGGACACTTCCTTGACAGCGCCAAGGCTTTCAGCAACTGCAGCAGGCAGAGCTACTTAGATCTGATCGGCAGAGGGGATGGCGACTGCTTGCGCAACATCCCAGAGCGCCACAGACTCTTCTATTTTAAGTATTGTGGCAACAAGGTGATCGATGAGGGAGAGCAGTGTGACTGTGGGGGGCCGCAGGACTGCCGAGGCAATCCCTGCTGTCACCAGAACTGCAGGCTGAAGCCAGGGGCCGTCTGCTCCATTGGGCAATGCTGTCAGAAATGCCACTTTCGTGCTGCAGGACACAAGTGCAGGTCGGAGGCGGACGAGTGCGACTTGCCTGAATATTGCAATGGGTCTTCCGAGTGGTGCCCGGAGGATCTGCACGTGCACGATGGGACGCCATGCAGCGACAATGGCTACTGCCACCGCGGGAAATGCGCGACCTATGACAACCTGTGCCGAAAAGTCTTTGGGAAGGAAGCTCGGGGTGCTCCAGAAAGTTGCTTCAAAAAGCAGAACGTAAAAGGGGATCGATTTGGCAACTGTGGCGGCGATGGGACTGAAGTTGCTTTTGTGGGTTGTAAACCCCAAAATGCTCTGTGTGGAAGGCTGCAGTGTGCCAATGTGAAGAGGATACCTGTTCTGGAGGGGTCTGAAACCATCATTCAGATGCCAGGGCCCGAGGGTTGGTGCTGGGGCACAGCCTACCAGGCCAGCATCGATATACCTGATATCGGAGGAGGGCTTGATGGCACCAGATGTGGGCCAAAAAAGATCTGTATTAACAAGACATGCACAGATGCCATGGTCAGGACGAAGTGCAACGGGAAGGTTTTGTGCGGGGGGAAAGGGGTTTGCAACAACCTCGAACACTGCCACTGCGAAGCTGGCTGGGCTCCTCCGAACTGCCAGTTCCATGGCCTGGGAGGGAGCGTGGACAGCGGCCCTCCACCGCCTCTCATGATGACCATGGTGGAGGTTGTCCAAAATAAAGTGTTTGGGATGGTAATTGGGATCACAGTTCCCATTGCCCTTGTTCTGATTGCTCTCCTCATTGCTGTAACCAAATACAGAAAGGCAATAGCTGCGTTTTTCAGTACAAGTTTAGCCACAGAGAGAAGCGAGACTCCTGCAGATGAGGAGCAGAGTATGGAAGAAAAAGAAGATGATTATGTTTAAAAAAACATGAAAGCAGTGGGAAACCCACCAGCTGAGGTTTGGAAAGGACTGCAGGCCCTGTGGGTATGCCCTTGAAGCTGGACAGCTAGTCCCAGGAGATTTTGCATAAAGTGATTTACACAGCGTAACTGTGTAAACTGTATGAAAGTTAATGACACAGAACTTGAGTATTTCCTCTTCTTGTATTACCTACTATGTAAATAATTTTTGGTTGGACCCAGAAAGTGAAGCTGTTAGAACATAAAGAGTGTAAAAGTTAGAGAGTGGTTTTCAATGCAGCTAAAGATCTCTTTTATAGAATGGTGGCACCTTAGTGAATAATTCACTTCGGCATCTAGAAGAGCATAGACAGATTCATGTGAAGTCCTGCTCACCTGGTTCAGGAGAGATGCTCCACCGGGTCGAAGAAGCTTATTTTTCTGAGTATTGTAGCTGAGCAGAAGTTGGCATGAAGAACAGCAGGGAAATGTGCAAAAAGTCGAGGCACAGAAGTGAGCGCTGATTTTTTTTATGCTACTTTGTAATTTTTGATTCCTTGCAGTTGTCTGTTAGTATGGTACCTCTTCTTATTTTTATAGTGAATTAAAAGTCAGAGATTGAAAAATATTCACCTTTGCTTTACTGTTAATTTGTAATGGCAAATACTTAGAGAAGTAAAACATCCTTTGACCACCTACCCTCAAAGGAGCTGTACCAGATCTCTGAGCTGTTACATATAATTTGCTGCGTTTCTAGAAATATGACCATACGGAGAAAGTCTGTACTAAAGATTTACCGTGTTTAAAGAATCCATTTACAATCCATACAAACCTGTAAAATAAATAACTATCTTCACTGAAGTGTCTGTCTCCGACAGCTCTGCTCAGGCTTCTCCAGCACTACAGCTAACTTTGCCGCTGACAAGACAGTTCGCAGCAGACAGCCTGATACTGGGTCTGGCTGACATGGCTAAAACACGACGAGGTCTTCTTAGGACGCTGCCTGTTCTCCTTCGAGGCAGGGATTCATCAGAGCAGGGTGGACGTGGACCCCTCTCTGCCCGGTGAGGAGCGTGCTGTCGTAGAACTTCTTCTGGGAGCGCAAGAGAGGAGTCTGAGTGTCAACGTCCCGGCAGGCGTTGCGTTTGAGGGAGAGGAAGACGTGCTGCGTCCAGCCGTACACGATGCAGTTCAGAAGCCCCTGGGAAGCTGCTGTCAGAGCCTGGGAGAGACCACAGGGGAGATCAGGGCTCTCTTGTCAGCCAGCACTGCACAGCGCTCCGCGGCTCCCTACCAGGCTGTCAAACCCGGCACGTTATGCCAAGCCTCCCACTTCCAGCATGATTTTATCTATCTGCATTCCCATGTGATACAGGAATCTCATGGTTATTTTAATAATCTTTGCTAAATGCTGCCTCAGGCACAGCAAGGAGCTGGACAAGTGTTGTGGAGGAATTGCGTTTGGAGACTTTCACAGAAAGGGAATAAACTAACTGATTTCTGGGGATCCCTTCTAGTCCTATTTTCTACAATTTCCATTGCGCTGTGATTTTGGTTACTGAGACCTTTTCAAGCCTGTGAAAAACATAAAACAACTAACAAAGATCTTTGCCAACCAAAAGCATAAATCAGACTTAGGCTCATACAGCAGTGATCTCTGTGGCTGGAAGGGTGCTTTGTCCAGCAGAGACTAGAAGCAGGCAAACACCAATACGCCTGTTCAAGCAGAGAAGGCAAACCATAGGAGGTTGCAGAGGAAGACATTTACCTGTAGAATTAGAAGAGCCATGTAGATTTTGCTGTTTGTTGAAACAGTCAGCTTCAGTATTCCAAGCAGGACAGCTGTGAAAAGGGACGGACAAGAGGGTATTGCTTTAATCCCACCTTTTCTGAGTTTCATTGCCAGGCACTATATCCTAGGGAAATACTGTGAGAATAACTCAGCTTTCTGCTAACCTGGGGCCCAGCAGCAGAAGAATGCGACGGGGTAAAAAACCACTCGTTGTTCCACCATCTTAATCATGGCCCACTGCTGATCCCCCAGGAATCCTGTGGAGTTTACGAACCTTTTGTACAAACCTCGGGCTTGACTGAGTATAACCTAAAAAAGAACAAGCATATAGGGTTGTTTGTACTTTGTGCACATGCTCTGATCTGGCTTGTTCATCTAGGACAGAGTACCCCATGGTTTTTTTAGCCAAAACCTCATTTCGATCTATCAAACCTTTTCATGCAACAGTGTGCTCCCTGGGGGAAAGCAGTTGCTTTGTACGTGACCTTTTCTGAACTGAAGACTCTGAATTGAGTTGGGCTTTTGTTGACCCATGCAGTAGGTGATCTCTGCTGCCACGCTCTGAGCCTTCTCTACCTGCCAAATCCTTTTTGGGATGGGTTGACGGAACACAGGACTCCAGATGGATTTATATGGTGGCACAATGCTATTCTCTCTCCCCTACCGCTCCTTCCAAAAGGGAAGCAGCACCACACAGGTCTTCCCCTGACATTGCCTGGCCTCTGGTACCATCCAAGCAAAGATGTAAAGATGAAAAGGGAAAATCTCACACTGATCATTTGGGTGCAATGGCTAGTGTGCAAGGACTATGTTTCTTACCAGAATGGCTATGAAGCTAATCAGAAAGAAAATGAGGAAGACCCCAATGCCATAGAAATGCATCGCACGGCAAACAGAGCCACTCAGGGTTTGCGGCTCGTTGGTGGGCATGGCTATTTCCGTGTGCATCAAGAGACATCTGTGGGGAGAAAGGGAAGAGCCTGAGCTCCTGCCGTGACTCATAAGCAGTGGGGCTGTTTCAGAGAGACGCGTGAAGCTTACCCATGCTTCTGGCTGAAGTTCTGGTAGCAATTATTGCTGTTTCCCAGGCAAAACACGGGCACCATGAGAAAAAAAGGGATCAGGCTAAGAGGAGAAAGGACAACAGCAGAGTTATTAGTTATTGCACTGCACTGCTCCCATCCCAAACCAAACACTGCTTGGTTTTTTTCCTGTCACTATAGAGGACTTAAAAATTGTTTTTATTGACACTGCTCTGGAAGAGTATTTTACCAGCTTTACTAACTTCTGCACTTTCATTCATGCAGGCAATACATTAGTAAAGGGAGCACTTTCTGAAAAACTACATATAGTTAATTTACTTATAACCAACTTGGTTGGAGAAAGACCCTTACATCCAAAACCTCTTACTCTGAGTTTGTTAGGTCACTCTGCTGTTACTGACGAGCTTTACAGGTTTTAGTAAAACTTGCTTCAAAATAAGCAGGAAGCAGAGATCAGTACACTACAGTTTACCAAAACCACATCATTCTGCCAGAGAGAATTAAATCTTACCTAGACAAGATCGTTGCTATTCGGCCAATGCAACTCACATAATCTACAACCTGCAAAATCCAAAGAGCTTAATTAAACGATCGTTGCAGTACAGCCACTGGTTCACAGGAACCAGCTCTCAGGGAGCACGTCAGCAGCTAAGGGTTCTTCAAATACTGATTAATCCCCAGACCAAGCACAAATGTTTGTTTCCACTTTGCACTGAATCAACACCGCCGAGTTCAGTCTGTGCTGATTTGCAACAGAAACAACCGATACTTCCACCCGCTTACTGCCTTGTTCTCCTTCCAGACTAGAGGATTTGAGAAGGGAACTTGGAACTGGACAAGGAGCAGACACTTGATGAGCTCTCTGGTGTAACTTACTCATTTTTTGTACTGCTTACTCACTTAACCTGGCCCTGTTGCTCAGAAACTTCATGTTCTGTTGAAGAAATGCAGGCAATTTGGAGTGTCCTGGAATCTGCTCAGCAGGAAATGTGCTTTGGCAGCTGGCATCCACACACCAGCTATGACAATACAACGTGGGCACAGCTGTAGTGGTGGGGAATTATGGTAGGTGGTGTGTTTTGAATGGATGTTTCCTTTCTTTGTTTCCAACAAGAAGGAAACCAGTCCTACAAGTGGATCCAAACCCTATGGACTAGAGCCCTTGAAATATAGACCGATCTGCCCAGCCTGCTGCTCCCGAACCGACAGATGGAATATCTGGGATACAAAGTTTGCTGTGCACAGCAAACGTCTGGGGAAGAAAAAGGCTATATACGGAAATGGGGCCGATGGGTTCAATGGGAAGAGCTGCATAAGGAATCTGTCATCTTGCAGCAATATGTCAGGAGCAGCACAGGGGTTATGGCGATGGCGGTGCCTCACTGTTTAGCCAGGTGTGAGGAATGAAACAACTGCAAGGAGAGATTTTAGTCATGCGGTATGTGAAGTGTTTGTTTAGCCTACAACGCAGAGAGTATTTTTCTGAGTACTATGTCCTTGTTCCTCGGTTCCCAGCGATTACACTGGTTCCCCAAAGGGCTTTTGTAAAGGCCAGCGATGATGAAGTGAGGACTGGCCACTGTTCACAGAGCCAACTGGTCCTTTTATCACTAGCTCACTTCCGTCACACCTCTTATCTCAAACTCTTGCAATACTTACTGACGCTCTCGAATGCTGTATGACACCTGGGAAGGACAGAAATTGTCAGTTCTCAGTTCCAGGCTGTCCAGGCACCCCCTGCTTTCCTGTCCCCTCTGCCGTGCACTGGCAGAAAGCAGTGCCAGCAACAAATCATTCAGCTGGTGCAAACTGCTGTTCTTCTAACTGCAGAAGAACTTCACCAATACCCAGTCCTGAGCTTTCTCTGCTCCGAGATGTACACTGCCATTGGCCTTTGCCTGCTTTGGTCTTGCAAGCCTAATCTTTCACTGAGATCCTACAGCAGACCTAGCTGTAACTCTGCTGACCTCAGTGGGCAAGATATGTCAATTCACACAGCCATGGGGCAGAAGTGCCTTCAAAGTCCTTGCGGTGAGATAACTGTTACGAATGCACCTCCTAAACGCCACCACAACCCCACAGTTAGACCTTGGTACCCAACAGTTGTTGCACATCAGTCCTACTCACCTGGGGGGGCATCCTGTGAAGGTTCTGATTGTATTTCATCTTTAGGTCCATGTACAGATGCCAGGTGTAGTTGACAGTGTATAGAAAAGATGCCACATAGAATATCTGAGAAATACAAAAAGACAGAATTTCAGTCCTATAATAATAGTTCCTGTAGCACTTTTAGTTCACCGCTGATGAGCCCAAAGCCCGTGGGCCAGAGGCAGGATACTAAACAGGGTAGTGGACTGCCAAAGGTGAGGGTCCCTGCAGAGCCCCTGTGCTCATGTCTACTGGGTTGCAGTGGGACACCAACTGGGAAGAGCCAGCTGGAGGAGGGGTTCCCACGTTAGACTGCACAAAGGCAGCTTCACTTTGGCCCCAAACCAGGGACAGGAGAACTAATGACAGCAGACTGTCTTAAAAATACAAATCTTTGTGACTTGGCTCAAATTCTGGCAACAAAGGGTTCAAAAGCACTTTGACCCTTTCTATGCTACATCCATTAGGAAACACAACACAGATGCGGCACTTAGATTTGCTTCTCACATAATGAGCTTGGGTTAAACCATGACAGCTCACTACACAGCAAGTTCGCGGAAACAGAAAACAATAGTATATTTAAAGAGGAAAGTGGGGGCAGCGAATATCCGCACTAAGCCTGAGTTAACATCCCAAGAGCCCTTTTCTCTCCATGGGAAAAAGGAGGAAATAAAAGATCAGAACACTGTTTCCCATGGAGAGTTTCACAGCCCTTGATTCCAGCTTGAGATGAGACCAAATATCTAAAATTTCCTGTAAAAACCCCCAAATCTTTCTTGCATTTGTTTCTGAATCCATGGTTGCTCCAGGCAGTCAAGTATAAACAGTGCTGCCTAATCATACTATATATATGCGTGTGCTGTGTTTGTTACAGGAAACACATGCTTCAGTAGCAAAGGCAAAGAGGAAGGGCTGGACAAGTAAAATTTTCTGTGGATTTGCTATCCTTTGCCAAAGAGGCAAGAAGCACAGGTTTACCGCCCTGGTATCATCTAAGTCTGGGAAAGTTATCACTAAGTAAACTTGCTCTCCTTCACCAAGATTGCAAATGCTTTTGGCTGAATCAAGAGGCTGAGTCCAAGGGGCTGCTACACTGCAGCAGGAACATTACAGTGACTTTCCAGCTCATTAAACAAGGTTTAATGAGGGTTTGTTGCCCTTCTTCAATTACTTCCAGGGAAGGTCATCAAAACAGTCCACAAAGATCGTTCTCTTGCACTTCAGAATGCCTCAGAGAGGCTCACAAAATGTCAGCACTGCCTTCTTTTTTGGAAGAGGGAACCAAAAGCCACTTGTGAAGTTGCCAGCAGAAAGCGAAGGGAGTTCTGCTCTCCCAAGCCCCAGCTTCGGGGCTGTGGACAGTCCTGGAGCGCTCACCATAAGGAGATAAAGCAGGGGCTGGGAGACATGAGAGTCCCTCATTATAACACTTCTGTGTCTCCCCATTGTGCTCACCAGCGTGAGCGGAGCCTGCCAGGACATTATTAGGCCACTGGAACTGAACTGGAAGAATGTGGGGGAATTGTGCAATTATAACCACAATCTCTATTCTGGACTTTATTGTTGTAACGCAAAGGCAAGGCAGGGAGGGAGGAGAGAACAAAGTCAAGGGACAGCAGAAGGGAGCAGTATTTACATTTAATATCAACCAAGAGTCTGGGGCTGAAACAGGGAAAGTCCAAGAAACAAAGCAATCTCCTCCTTTTCGACACAGTATGGATGTTATGGGAGTTCCATCTGCTGCAACATCAGCCCTTGGTGATAAAATGATGGTAAACAGGCTGAATAAGGCAAAATATTGTCCTGCTCCTGTCTCAGTCCCTTGAGACAACCACATCACATGGACTGTGATTGAGTTTCTCCAAAGGCTGCCATCTGCGAACACCACTGCTGAGCAGTCCTGAGCCTGTCCTCACCCTTGTCGTTCAGTGCATTTTACATCTTCTAGGTGTTTGTGTGCAAAGAAGCCGCACGTGTTTATGAGACACCCAGAAATGCAACCCTTCCGAGACTTCTCCGCTCAGCATGGGCAGAATGGGGTCAAGAGACATTTACTCATTTCGTTCGGTTACAGATCACTTATGCTCTGCAGAAGCTGCTGGTTAAACCTGTTACTGGCTCCTATTTACACACAAGGTGTTCCCACCATGCAAGGGCATTGCTGGGTGTTTAGTACGGTGTCCTGCACCGTGTCACGTGCACCATGCAGGCACGGTTGCTATGGCAAGTTGCTCCGTTTGTTTTAATTTCTCCCAGAGCAAACAGCAGCGACAGCTCTTGCCAGATGCAAGCCGGCTCTGCCACCCTGGCAGTCCTCCTGCCGGGGGTGGTCTGCTGGTGGCATGCAGGAGAGGAGCCCAGCGACCCTATGGCCGAGGTCGCGATGTGGCAGGCACCCTGCACACCCCACCACAGCACCCTGACTGTCCCCCGTGGGGTGAGGCAAAAGCAAGTCCTGTAAGGACTCACCAAGGCCAGCTCTGCCTACTCACGCTGCCTTTCCCAGTGCGAAAGTAAAGCTCCCACCTTGCCCCCATCCCTTGCTGGTGTCCCTGAGAAGCATGGCCACAGATAGGAAAAGCAAGGGCAGAAAAGAGTCAGAAATGCACGGCAGCATAGCACGCTCCCAGTGTCTCCACTGAGACATGATGGTGTGTTGTCTATATCCAACCTACGTCTCCTCCAGCAGTGCAACCTGTCTTCTCCAGGCCATAAAAAGATCACACCAGCATTAAGAAATGTTCTCCAGGCAAAGCTGCAAGGGAAACAGCTCAGAAATGCCTTCAGTCCCGCATGCTCCTTCCACCTTCCGGCTCTGAAAAGCGTCTCCCTAGCTGTTCTCATTTTCCCCTGTACCATCATCTAAAAAACATCCTTGATACTGTTCTGCATCATTCCCAAGTGGCCAAGTTACCCACATCCCACTGTTTCCTCTCTCGACTTGAACATACTGCAGTGCTTCCACAGCAGCACAGGGGAGCTAGAGAAACCAGAGATAAGCCAGGAGTGGAAAAATTGCTCTCGCCATCATGAGTATTACGGTTTTACCCACAAGAACAGCTGTTGAAACAGCCCTGGGCTTCAGGCAGCCGTTCCCAGACACACAAAACGTGAGCGCTTCCATACCGCACACGCAGCTACTTCCCTGCTCTCTCCGAGGTATGTGGAGAGCCTCTTCAGCTTCAGACGCTGCTCCTCAGCGAGGAACATTTCAGTTCCCATCTGTGGGTACCATCACGCTCCCGGGGAGCTGCCTGAGTCCACAAAACACACATCAAGGCTCCCGACAGCTACTTGCTCTTCCCAGTCACGTTTTTGTGAGTCCTTTAAAAGGAAACTGTTAAGCCCAGAGATCACTGCTTGTGAACCACCACCCTGGCCCAAGCTTGGCCGTACCCCGCAGAGTTTTTCGAGAGCAGTGATTTGCAAAGCCTAATGCTGAAATGGGAACTTGGTGAGACAAAAGCAAACTGTCAGGAAAACGGTATTTCACTCACTCCACTCCAATTAGTCTCCAGCACACAAAATCAGCTGGAAAGCAGCCGAATCGCTGGGGCACGGGACTGAGCTTGTGCTGACGGAGCAGCCCCCGAGCATCCTTGGGACTGTTTGAGAGAGGATAGGGCCAGGTCAGCAAGAGCAGGGCTGTTTATATGAGTAACTTTGTAAGTCTGAGCTCGAGCAAATCGCAGAATATGTCTGTTCCTGCCCAGGATGGAGGAAGCATGAAGAGGAATAGAAAAGCTGCTGTGTGAGAGGCATAGAGATCATCGTCGGCACGGGTCCAAGAGGAAATAGATTAAGACCCATCTACTCACTTTACACAAGCAACCCAAACATGGTAACCACAAAATCCCATGCTCTCTTTGCCTTCCTCATTGCCTCTCACAAACCAGATGTACCTAAATCCAAGCATCGTTATCTCCATTTTACACACAAGGTGAAGAGATCTGATAAGTCAAGTTCACACGAGGAGTCTCTGCCAAAGCCTGTCTAGAAACAGTCCCCCACAGCCACGCTCTGATCACCAGCGGAGCTAATTAAGGCAATGGGTGCAAAGTAACAGCATGAATGGTGATGTCAAGGCTACTCACTTGTCCTGTCGCTTGCAGGTTATAGCAGATGAGATCCTGCTTGGAGGTTGGCGTGCTATAGAGAAGCGCCCCAGCGAGCCAGCACATGCCCAGAAATAGGTCGGAGAGGCTCAGGTAGAAAAGTGGACGAACCTGGGAAAAGTGAAATTGGTCAGCAGGTCTGAGCGATGGTCAGAACACTCCCACGGCCACCTACAGCAGCGGTTTTGCCCCATCATCTAAATATGCTTTCGTCCCCCAGTTCTTCTGGTAGGGCAGCTCTCCTTGCACACAAAACCCATGCTGATTCTTGCTCTCGGGCTGTTTCAATGCAGATACTTCACTCTAATCACCCTTTCTGCCACTAGCAATGCCCCAGGATCCAAAAGCAGCATCAACTCTTACAGAAAATATCTCAAAGGTTACAATTTTGTTACTGAATGGGACAGGTTGGCAGGGAGAGAAGCAATGTTATTTGTTAAATCAACTGATAAGAGAAATCAAACTTTTGGTAAACACAAGCCCTTCTTCAGGTCTGAAATAACTTGAAACAGACATTTTTCCTATTTCATGTCATTTGAGTTGGTGACTAAGGCTGAATCTATTTTACATGCCAGATTAATTTTCGCTACGAGAGCCACTAGTCTCTCTGCTGCACGCTGCATCTTGCTGGAACAGAGTCGCGTCTCCTCTAATGGCAGTTTCCAGCCCATTTCCAGTTTGCGTGCACTGGCCAAAAGGACTGTAAACACTGTAGGAAAGTATTTGTGCAAAATTCTGGCCAACATTTTCGTTGTTAGAGGGAAAGCAGACACTCTGGAAAAGCAGCCTAATTATCTGCATTCTTAATTGTAGTCTTTGGTACCTAATTTTCAGCATCCTGGAGAGAAAATGATGGCATTTTTTTTT